ACTCCATTAAATTCTGCCAACTGCTGAATTGGTTACTGATTTGCAGTTCTAGTTTGCAACTTATTTACATAGTCTAGTCACTAGATCATTTGATATTCCAACAATTAGCAGGAGTTTGTTGTAGGAATTAGATGAGATTAAAATGCATATTCATAGTAACATAGTAGATGCTCAATTAATGGAAGAGTCCTCTCCTTCACTTCCTCCAGACTTGGCACATTCATTTGTATTTTTATGCCTTCAGAGAATCCTTTGGGACAGATCAATTCATTAATACATATTTTCATATTCATAACTTGGAGCCCTTGGGAAAAGAGAACACCAGGGTGTGGCAGTCATTTTCAGAAGCTGGTTTCTGTCACTAGGGTTGAGCTGACAGAATCATACGACATGATATTCAATAGATGGGTAGAAGAGGCCAGTTACAATTGAGAGACGTAGTAGCTAAGATTGAATTCACAAGCTTAGGTCCCTGGAAATATACACTGGAATGAGGAGCTCAGGAGAGAAAGAACTCAAGGTCGAGGTAGGAGGGTGACAAGGATAATGAGGTAGATTTTCTGTTCCCTGAGATGTGATTTTGGTGGCTTCTTAATCCTCCACAGGAAGATAAATAACCCTCACTAACTGATTTCACCCGCTGGCACTTTAGAAAAATTTCTTTTGGTTTTTAAGGCTTTGATCACTGTTCAGAAGTCAACACCCTTGACAGGGTTGATTTGCTGAACTACTAACAGTCACCTCAGTGTCAGTGGAAGATTTGATAGGGAACTTTGGAGGAGAGAGAGAGAGAGAGAGAGAGAGAGAATGACTGCTGAGAGGGGAGACAGGGCACAGCATGAAGTGCAACTCATGGTGCTGGCCTGACAGACCCGAGGGACCCTTGGGTGTGTTTGAGACTTACATAGTTTAGATTTCTGCATGCTTTGGGATGCTCTCAACTTGCCTTTTCTGTGGCTGTGTGCCCTGCCCCTCCCCAGCATAAGCCCCCAGACTCTGGTCAGGCCTGCTTTCTCCTCACTGTGTCTGGTGGATCAGGCCACAACTTCAGCTTCCCCTTTCGCTGCTCTTGGTTCCCATTCCTGATCCTCTCCTCCCTCCCAGGCCTCACCTTCTCTCCAGTTGCCCTTTACTTTCCTCCATCTCTTTCCACCATAGCCTTGGCTCTTTGTGCCATGGGTGTTCAGCATTTGTGGACCTTTAGTTTTGCCTTGTGTCATGTTTACCAGTAGGTTTGTTCTTTAATGTGCTTGTATGTGTTCTCCCTAATTCAGTTCTCTCAAAGTGTGTCCTGTGAAACGGTGTGAGCAGATGAAATGCAAAATGGCTTATAATCAAAGGGTAGGAAATGGTGGTTTTAGCAAAATTTAAAAACCTTTTGTTTTTTAAACCATAGGCTTCTGCAAAGCTTTAATTTATAAGTGCTTTTGATCCTGACTCCTGTAAAGTGTTTCCCAGTGTTACTTACTTGTGCACGAACCTGTTTTCATCTTGTTGGGTTAGTGTTCTGGAAGACAGTTTCCAGAAGGGCTGCTGTAATTGGCTTAAGCTCTGAAAGGGTAGAAATCACATCATCCTCCACTGTGGAGCCCAGAGTAAATTCTTAGGACAGTTGTTTGGTGTTTGAAGAACTTCTTATTGTGGTACAATTTATATAAAATTCACCCTTTCAGTCATTTTAAAGCATGTAATTCAGTGGCATTTAATATGTTCACAATGTTGTGAACTGTCCACCTAATTCCAGAACATTTTCATCACTGGAAAGGAAGCCCTGTACCGATTAAGCAGTCACTCCCTGTTTCCCCTGGACCCTGGCAAAAACTACTAGTCTGCTTTCTGTCTCTATGAATTTGCCTATTCTAGGCATTTTATATGCATGGAATCATATAATATGTGGTGTTGTGTGCCTGGTTTCTTTCCTTAGTGAAGTTTTGATACAGATGCAAGGTCTTAGACCTGGGATGATGTCTCTGCTCCCCCAAAGAAACCCTTTATCATTAGCCAAACCCCATAAATGTACAAGTAAAAAAAAGCAGTCATTCATCTGGAAGTCCCCTCAAGTCACGTGGCCAGGTTAAAAATACCATGCATTACTGTAGAAAAAGGTCAGGAGTGTGGTTGCTGTTACCATCATTTGACCTGGGACTTCAGGAAGCTGGCTTGAGCTGTACTGTTTGAGCTGAGCCTCAAACCCTTTCCTGGGTCTTAGGTGACAGAGCTTTTGGCACAACTGGCTTATCATCCTTGTTCATCCCCTTTCTAGTCGGAAGGCTCAACATTTCAGGCTACTCATTTAATAACTGTAGAACATTTTGGAATGGACTGAGTCCTGTAGGGGCATCCTAAAGGTAAGGTTGCACTGTCTACTGTGCTGCAGAACCCTCACTAGTCCTTCAGGCAAACTCTTTGAGTCTGGGGGTTCACACAAAAATTAGGTGTCCATCTCCTGACAGCCTACTGCAGCACCCTGTGCTCAGCACTGATGACTGTTCACCTGCCTTGTGGGCTTGTGTAACCCCTTCCTCATGGGCTGCACCCTCTGCCCTCCACTTGTTGATGTCTCTTGAATCTAGGCATACCACTGCCCAAAGGAGTGTTACCTGTCTGCCTGAAATAACTGTTTTCAGTGTGCCATCTTCTGCCTAAGAACCTGTGGTACTATCTGTCTTGGTGTCCAAACTCCATTCCAGTTTTGTTTTGTTTGAGACAGGTTCTCACTCCTTCGCCCAGACTGGAGTGCAATGGCAAGATCATGGCTCACCGAAGCCCCCACCTCCTGGGCTCCCAAGTAGGAGGAACTATAGATGTGTTGTCCACACTGGTCTCAAACTCCTGGGTTCAAGTGATTCTCCTGCCTTGGCCTCCCAATGTGCTGGGATTATAACATGAGTCACCATGCCTGGCCCATTCTATTTTTTGAGCACTTCTTTCCTTCGCAGTGTAGACCATGACCCTTCCTATTGATCAGACTAGTCATGTTCTTCTTCCCCTTCCACATCACCTCTTAGTAACTTCTCCCTGGGCTTGAAACAACTGACCATCCTCTCTTCTTTTGCCTTGATCAGTATGACTCTTCCTTTGAAGCTCACTTGTGGCTTAGCAGCTGCATAAAGCCTCCCAAACATTCTAGCAACTCATATATTTTTTTTTTTGAGTGAGAGTCTCACTCTGCCACCCAGGCTGGAGTGCAGTGGCACGATCAACAGCTCACCACAGCTTCGACCTCCTGAGTAGCTGGGACTACAGATGCACGCTGCCGTGCTCAACTAATTTTTTGATTTTTTTTAGTAGAGATGAGGTCTCTTTATGTTGCCCAGGCTGGTCTCGAATTCTTGGGCTCAAGCAATTCTTCCACCCTCAGCCAGCCAAAGTGCTGGGATTACAGTTGTGAGCCACTGCTCCTGGCCAATTCTAACCACTCTTGCTGCCCGCACTAAACTCATCGTATTTGAAATCCACAGGATTTAGAGCTGGAGATATTTTTCCCTAAAGACTTTATCTCTTAGTCTTTCCCCCCAAATGGTCAGCTTTGAGAGGAAGGGATAATAAAGTAAGCAGGTGGAGTGAGAAGGCAGCAGACTGTGACTTAGGTCACCTCTGAATGAACCACTCACTGGCTGTGTTGTCTTGGAAAAGCCACTTGCCTTGAATTTCTTTTCTGACTTGTAAAGCAGGTAGGTGAGTATATTAGTTTTCTATTTGCTGCTATACCAAGTTTTTACAAACTTAGTGGCCTAAAGCAACACAGATTTATTCTCTTACAGTCCTAGAGTTCAGAAATCTAAAGTGAGTTTGCATAGCTACATTCCTTCTGGAAGCAATTCTTCTGGAAGAATCCATTTTCTTATTTTTGCCTGGTTCTAGAGGCCACCTGTATTTCTTGGTTAATGGTCTCTTTCTCCATCGTCAAAGCAAATCACCTTAACCTCTGCTTCTGTCATCACATATCTTCTTTGTGTCTCTCATGCATCTCTTTTTCTCTTATGAGGGCCCTTTGGGCCTGTCTGGATAATTCAAGGAATCTCCCTATCTCAAGGTTAATCACATCTGCAAAGTCTATTTTGCTGTGTAACGTAATTTGTATACTGGTTCTGGAGATTAGGACATAGATGTCTTGGAGGCCAAATCTTGTCTACAGTGGATTCTTGGGTTTACTGTGTTTCTAACCTGCCATGCCTCTAAAAACATACTTCTTCCACTTATTTAAGAGCTTAGCACACACAGTGCTAGACTTATCAACTTGTTGATAAGTTATGTTTATCTGTGAGGATTTCCTCTTCTCAGATTGTTATTAGGGATTCTGCAGCCTGGTATAACTCAATGCTAGAACCGTGAGCATAAACCTTGGAATTATTCTGGTTTGACTACATTTTTACACACAAAAGCTTCACGATGCTCCTTTACCCTTCTTTTCAAAATGTACAAAGCACAAAATCAAAGACCTCAGAGAATTTCATCTGTTTCCCAGTAACCAAGGATAACCTTTAAACAGCCTGTTACTGGTGATTCTGCCATATTTCTAGTAGTCTCTCTACAAAGTCTTGGATGTGTTTCCACATGCTCTTGTGTAAGTTGAAGTAGAAGTGTCTTTAAGGTCTAGAAGCCAGTCTTACACACTAACCTACCTAGTCTTATCTATAATTGCTACTTTATGTTACATTTATGTTATTTCACAGCAATTTGGATTTGCATTTTTAAGAGAATTATGCTATTTTCTTTTTCTGTATCCTATTGGGTGGTTTCCACATTGGATGACCATCACTTATTTACAAAGCAGTGAAAAGGCATTCATAAAATGTAATTATAATGACTCTATTGGGTTCTCCCAACGCTCAGCTCATTGTGCTAAAATAGAATCCTCATGTGTTGGAAAACTGGCCTTCCGGTAAAATCTTAAGTTTTGAGACTACTTTTGACTGTAGTATCTGAGAAATACACAGTGTGAGTCAAGCACATTTGTAGCCTGCCTATTGAAGTTTTCTTTCCATTTTGTCTCCTAGATGCACCCACTGGGACTGTGTAATAACAATGATGAAGAGGATTTGTATGAATATGGCTGGGTAGGAGTGGTAAAGCTGGAACAGCCAGAATTGGACCCGAAACCATGTCTCACTGTCCTGGGCAAGGTAAGCATCAGGCCTTTCGAATCACTGCAGTTTTGGTTGTTGTTTTTCACTCTTGCATTTCCTCAATACCCTAGATAGTTGGTTACGGCAAAGAGCCTTGCTGGCACAGTACTCCTTCCTGGCTGAAGTCGATTGCATTGGGAACTGAGACATGTCTTGAAGCAACCCGCCAGTGTTTATAAGCCTGGACTTAGAGTTGGCTTTGCCTCTTGTCCACTGTGGCCTTGGGCAAGTTGCTTACCTTCAAGGGGTCCCAGTTTCTTGTCTGTGACATGGGTTGATAATAGAGATTCATAATACTTTATCTTATAACTTTGGAGCCAGATGTTTCAGAATTCTGAGATTTGGGGAGTTTAGAAAGGTATTAAGGTGTATATATTTAATATTAAGTGACCTCCATGGGTTCTGGGGCAGCACTCCATAATCAAGCACATTCATATTTATATATCAAACCATATGGATGTTCACATTAAGTAGGATAACTGTAAATAGCCTGTGCTAGTTCAGGGCAGCTTTGCCTCCAGATGAGTTCAGTTCCATTAAGTTTTACTGCCAAGTAAGATATGGTAAAACTTTTGGGTTTTAGAGCTTTTTTGGTTTCAGACTGGCAGATAGCAGTTATGTTCCTGTGTTAGAACTTACCTCATGTAGGTGGTTAGGAGGTTAGAGAAGATGCAAATCCCTCACACAAAGGTAAGTCCTCAAAAACATTTACTGCCATTGGCTGCCACCACTCTATTTAGAAGTACTAAAAAAGACTTTTTAGCCAAGAAGTCAGCATTACTTTGAGTGCAGTGTAAGATAAAAATAAATTTACTTTAGAAAGCTATCTGCCAACGGTCTTAAAATATGACAATTAACAACCTGTTTTAAACTGGATCATTTTGTTACAGAAGGATTCAGAGAAAGTTATTCAAATTTTGTTCGGAAGAAAGGTGGTGCTATTACCTGGATATTTTTTGCATCCTTAAAAGCTGTGATTCTAGGTACTGTGGGGAGACAGCTGTGTAAAAAGCCATCCTGGTTCCTGATCCCTTAAGAATCTCTTGGGAAATCCAGGCAAGAGAAGAGGTGTTTTTGATGCCAGGTACTAGAGAAGGGAGCCTTCCCAGACTTGAAGTTGCCCACCAGTATCTCCTGAAAGACCTTTGTCTCCAGGAACCCTCACAGGTCTATTCTGTTTGTCATTTTGGTGTCCCTCTTGTCTTCTGAGTAGCTTTATATCACTTGTCAAGTACTTGTGCCCTTTCATTGGAAAAAAATAACCCACAGGAATTATTACTTGTTTGGTTTACAGTTTGAAAAGTTAAAAAAAAAAAAAAGAAAAGTTGAATCAGGGTGTTTTAGGTGAGTCAGGCCCTGATACTTCATCGTTTAAATAGTTGGCCAGAGCTGCTTATAGTGGTAGCAGAGCAATGACCCCCTTGAGACTATTTTAGTGTTTTCCTAGGAGAAATGCCAGTTACGTCTATAAGGTAGGAACAGTGCTTTCCTTGTAGGTATTACACTCCTAATAGAATATTTTCTCCTATACTTACACTGCTGCCATGTGGGGCTTGGCTCTTTGGCTTAATTTACTTTGCCCTGGTCTAGTGTGGCTCCATCTTTGTGTTGCTTGTGTCTATAAATGGGTTGGAACAGAGATCACAGGGTCACCCTATAGTTCTCCCATGGTTTAGTGGTGAGGGCACTTGTTGAAGTCACTCAGAGAACCCAACTATTTCCTCCTCCGCCTGGAACAACCATGTAGTGGTTTTACTTGGAGAGTTTTGTATGGTTTGGCCTGGTGGCCAGTGAAGCCAGGGGAATAAAAATCATAGTCATATATTGAATCATTAAGTACTTATTGAGTTTATTCATTCACCAAATATTTATTGAATTCAGGGGCCCAGAAGCTAAGCATGTGGTTCTATCTGCTTGCAAGCAGCAACTCTATATTTCTAGGAAAGGCTGCATGGTGGCAGGCAACATTTGCATGTGGGTAGTTACTGTAGTTTGGCTTAGTTTACACCTGAATAAAATCATTAGCAAAAAACTTGGGCCAAAGGAAGACAGTTCCACATTTGTTTAAAACCTGGGCTGATAATAGGATATAAGAGGTGCAATGAGTCAAGCCTGTGTCTGTCTGGTGTGTCTCTCTCTCTCCCTCTCTCTCCCTCTCTCTCCCTCTCTCTCCCTCTCTCTCTCTTTCTCGCACATCATCTTCTTGTTTGTTTGTCTGTTTGTTTTGAGTTGGAATCTCACTCCCAGGCTGGAGTACGGTGGCACACTCACAGCCACCCTAGCATCAACCTGCTGGGCTCCGGCAATCCTTCCGCCTCAGCCTTCCAAGTAGCTGGAACTACAGGCGCGCACTATCACGCCCAGCTAGTTTTTGATTTATTGTAGAGACGAGGGTCTCACCGAGTTGCCCAGGCTGGTCTCAAACCCGCGGGCTCAGGCAGTCCACTTGCCTTGGTCTCCCAAAGTGCTGGGATTACAGGCTGAGCCACAGGCCTCACATCTTAAAGTGTGGCTGTTCTCAACCTTGATTTCATTAACTTTGTTGTGTTTTCTTTTTTTCTGAGCCCCCATAAGCTTGTAGCAAAAGACTCTAGAGTAAAGGAAGGCAAAGTGATTTACAGGGGCAGCTCAGTCCCCTGCAGACAGCATGAATTTTCATCCCTTTCTTGGCTCTTGACTGTGGCAAGAAGGGGTGGGCAGTGAAGAGAGGCACAGAAGGCATAGGAGGAAACTGCAGCTTCCAGCATGGGGGCGGGGGAGAATCCTTTGGGTGGAAGTTGAGACTTGTTGAAAACTTCAGAAGGGAGGACTCTGTCAGCAGCAACCATGTCAGGCTTTCGGAAACACCTGTGGAAGAATTGGGGCACCCATCTCCTTCCCCAGTGCCTATCCTCATCACCCACCCGCCCACGGAAAATGCCACAGGGTGAACTCTTGAAATAAGAGAGGAATATTCTGAACTAAAAAACATAAATGCCTCTCTAGGAGTTCACATAAAGTTTCATTTTAAAAGCAAAAGACATAAACTCATCACCTTAGTTTATTACTGAGTGCTTTTGAACTCCTCAGAAGAGAATACCATAAACATATGAGAAAAATAATTTATGATCCTCTCCTTATCTTTCGATTCTATAGGAGGAGGTGCAGACAGTAGGATCAGCTAGGGAAGCAGAATTGAGGTGAGGGCAAGCCCCAACCGGAAAGTCCTAGGCCAGGGCTCCAGGCCACACCCTGCCTCGGACCAGGCATGGGCACATCTCTTCAGCTTTCTGGGCCTTTCTTTTTCACTTGATGTGAAGAGGCCATTCTGGGTTTCTTGCCCTTCTAATATTTTGAGCTTCTGTATCACATTTAAAATCTTTCCTTGATATTCTAGTTTGGAGAGATTCTAGTTACAGCATTGAAAGACTTTGTCATCTGTGACAGTTTGTTCCAGGAAATTAAAATAGAATAAAATTTACATTTCTTAGCAGCTTGCTATCTAAAGTAAGGATCTTTAAAAAATCCCAAAAGTGCAGGAATCTATGTTTATGCCCTAAGTATTTTGTTTTATTTTATTTTATTTTAAATTTTTTAATTTTAAAGATGTAGGGTACAATTCGGGGTTAGGTATACAACCATTGATTATGTAGGTGCCCTGGTTGATAAGGTGTGCCCCTCCCACCCCTAGCAGTTTCCCTCAACTGCCAATCCCACCCCCGCTTCCCTGGCAATTTCCCACTACTGTCATTCCCTTTCTTACAGTATTAATGATAATTGTTCAAGGTCTGCTTATCAGAGAGAACATATGGTACTCTGTCTTTGTTTCTGTGATAGATCACTGAGTATGATTGCCTCTAAATCCATCCAAGTTGCTGCAAAGTCCATATGTTTGTCTTTCTTTATGGCTGTATAATATTCAATTGTGTATATGTACCACATTTTTTTTTTTTTTATCCAGTCCAGCTTCGATGGGCAGTATTGGTTGGTTCCATGTTTTTGCTATTGTGAATAGAGCTGCAACAAACATTCAGGTACAGGTATCTTTTCTGTAGAATGATTTGAGTTCCTCCGGGTATATTCCCAATAGGGGAATTGCTGGGTCATATGGAAGGTCAATTTCTAGTTCTTTCAGAAATCGCTACACTGTCATCCAGAGAGGTTGCACTAGTTTGCATTCCCACCAACAGTGTAGCGTTCCCTTTCCTCCTCATCCTTGCAGGCATCTGTTGTTGTTTGTTTTATTAATGATGCCTATTCTTACTGTGCCCTGGGTATTTTAACCCTTCAATTCAATCAGTCTTTATTAAGCATCTTTTGGAGCTGCTAAGAATTCCAAAGGTTGACTTTAATAACTTCAGTTCCAATGACCTGTCAGTCTTGTGGAGGAGAGTCTTATGGCAAGGAACACACGAGATGTACTGGAGTTTCTAGCAAAGCCCACTTGGCCCTGATTCCATAACCTCGTTGATGGTCATGGCCTTGGCCTCTCCAGTGCTTGAGAGGATAGTATGAGGACTTTAATAAAAAGACAAGAAAGGCAGAAAACTTAATATCACAGAGACAAGGATGGCCTTGACTGACTGACCTTAGAAAGGGGATTTCATTTCTCAGTGCTTTTCTCCTCTGTGCATCTGGGCTGATGTTGCCTTTGTCATTGTTATGGAGGGTCTGCAAGATATTTGTGGCATACTTAGCACAGAGCCTGGCACATGGCAAATGCCAGATGAACACATAAAAGCTGCCATTGTGTGTTGGGTGCTCAGCAAGTGCTGAGAGCTTTACATGCAGTATCTTCTTTCGTCATCAGACTAACTTTGATATCCCATCCAGATTCCCACTTTACGTTGAGCAAATCCAGTCCTAGAGAGAGAGAATCTCTGCATAACCAAGATCGAATGGCTCACTGGAACCAAGGTCAAATGGCTCACTGGAACCAAGATCTACAGAAAGACTGTTCGACTTCATCAATATGGATTTCCTCCTTTTGTCTTCTCTGGTTTCTCTAGATAAAGATC